GATGAGTAGGAATAACAACTTGGGGCAATGATTTTGTATTCTATCAGTGCCGGGAAACTTGAAATTAAGTGACCTTTCCTCTTAAGACAGAAATGTTGCACATCACCTGGAGCCATCGTCCTTAACATTTGCAGTGACAAATTAGACGATGAGACTGGAAAGGAGGCGCATATCTCTCTGCTCTCAGATTTTAGCCTTTCCGCAGAGTCTGCCTACTAGATGTACAACTCGATTAAGTGGCTCTGTGCAGCCAGCATGGCAAGCGGAACTGCCACTGACATTCTGCAAAGCGCAAAATGGCCATTCAGCTTCATTTGGGGAAATCCTGAGAGATCCTGGGGCTAATTCACAGAACCACTTGAATGTGGGAGTGACACACAAATTAGCACGAGAGCCCATCTAGGACAGTCAGGGATGGCCCTACCATTAGGCAAAGTGAGGCAGCTGCCTCAGACATCTGATTTTTGGTATCGGGAAAGGGCAGGGCTCCAACACTGCTAGGTTATGTTTTCTTTTTTGGGGTGCTCTGGCAAGTCTTCCCTCTTAAAGCACAAGCAGTTCTGACAGCAGCACTGTTGGGATCTTTGGAGCAATCAGAACTATTCTAGTGGTTTCAGAATGCACTACAAATTTCAGCTGCTATCTGCAGGAAGCAACCGGAGGAAGAAGAAGAAGAAAAGGAGGAGGAGGAGCCTCTTTCATAGCTTGAACACTCCAGCTGTGTAAGAGTTGCCAGGAGGCTGCAGCTCTGCCTCCAAATCCAGTGGCTTTCCTAGCAGCTGTCCATGAGTGCCTCTGTTCCCCTTGCCTCGTGGAGGAGGCTCTCCAGAGATGTTTATCCCATGCGTCAATCTACTAGTGGGGCTTCCCAAATGGGGAGGACGAGAGGGAAAAAGGAGGTGGCAGCTTGTTCCCAACGCTGAATTTTCTGTATGGGTGTGGTTGTGTCTGTGATTGTGTGTTATGATATGTGTGTGGTTATGTTAAAGTTTGTGTGTGTGTTGAGAGTGTGCCCGTGTCTATCTTTGGAACTGTGTTAAATGTAAATGTGTGATCAGGAAGTGTGAGTTAGGTAGGTTTGCATTAAAATGAAAAACTGAACTAATTTCTCCCTAATCCCTACACGCAAGGGGCAGCTACAAAAAAAGAAAGACAGAAAAAGTAAGAATGGCTTTACATTTGTTTTCCTTTGCAGAGCCAAAAAACAATTCCTTCCCACGTATCCTGGTTTAGATGGTGTCATTAGTAAAAGTCAGCCCTGGATATCTCTTTGCTTAGTTCCGCCATCACTTGATTGTTGCAGTTGTCACATGAGAAAAATAGAGTGTAAATTAGGTACCAACTCCTGAAAGATGGCAAGACTGGAGGGGAGAAGATGTTGGCTTTTTCCTTTTCCTTTTCCTTTTTAAAAATGTGAATCTTCAGGTCAGGAATGCTAGACTCAACAGCTTTCTGCATTAACCTTACTGCTGCACAGCTTTCTGCTCTTGGCCATTTATAATTAAGAAAGGCATAAAAATCAATCTCAGTGTATTGAGAGGAAATTATTGGCCACTTAACGGCCACAACAGTTTTGCAAGCAGGCATGCTAAACTGCGTAGTGCAGAAAGCACAGCAAAATGCTGAAGGGCTCTTTCCTTGCCACAAAATGATGGTTGTTAACATTAGATTCGTAAGGAACAATCTTTCTAATGGGAATTTGCATCAAACATTGCTCCTGGGATATTTTTTGATACTATAATAGCGAATGAAAATGACATCGTCAGGACTCGGTCACAACTACATTATTAACTCTGACCTGTCATGAATATATTATCTGTGCCAACCCTCAGCTCTGCACGTAATAACAAAGAGAGTGTCTCTGAGCATATCTAGAGTGTGTCTTCCTCCCCTTTGAACAGCCAGCAACACATACTGGAGATAAAGAAGCAGGGCTCCAGAGTTGTGAGCTCCAGGCAGCAGGTATGAGATGCCAAAAGCTCTCTCCTTAGCAAGAGGCGCTGACACATGGACTGGGATTTGGAATGGTGTGTTGACTGGGTCACCAGATTAACAGCTAACCTGTGGCATCCCAGATGCTGCAGAACTCAATTCTCTATCAGCCACAGCCACCATGGCCATAGGTCAGTCAACACTGCTCTTCAGAAATATCTAGAACTAAGCCCTAACAGTCTTTGAAGATTTGCTTGAAGATGTGCTATTTTTGAGATGAATTTGTAAGTCAGCTGTTGACTGGTCCTTTGAAATTCCATCTATTTTACATCCAAGCACTGAACACGTGTGAAGGAAGTGCACAAAAACACCTGAACATATGTTTGGGGTCCAGGCTGTCTGAAAGACCATATTTCCTCATAAGAACCTGCCTGGACTCTGAGATCTTGTGAGAAAGACCCTTCTCTCGGTTCCTCCACCCTTACAGGTGTGCTTGGTGGGGACATGGAACAGGGCCTTCTCAGTGGCTGCTCCCAGACTTTAGAACACTTCCTTATAGCAGCTAGACTGGCTCCCTCCTTGCTGTCCTTCCACCAGCAGAAAGGGAAAACTTTCTATTCCAACAGGCCTTTGGGAACTAATTGTTTTTGAGGAAAAGGCTGGTGCTGTGATGTTTTTATTGTTGTCTGTTTCTAAAGGATATTTTTATAATATTTTAATTCTATTCGTGTTTAATTACATTTTAATTATTTACTTTTTAATGTTTTTAGTTTCTTTTTTTATCTGTGTAAGCTGCCTCAAGTCCCAGACTGAGAAATAGTTGAGATATAAATAAATATAATAATATTCATTATTATAGATATCATTATAGCTATTAAAAGCTGGCATACTTACTTTCCCTCCCACTGGGATTGCCGGGGTGTGTGTGTGTGTGCAAGGGAGAACTGTCTGGAAAAACAGTCTTCCCTCCTGCTCCACCCTCCTGGCACAAGAGCCCACCTTTCCTCAGGCTTAAGGCCCAGGCCACAGACAGTCACCACAAGACCGCAAGCAGCCTGTAGCCCCTCCTGTCTTTCCCCTAATATTGAGCAGAAGCCCTGTTCAGTCTACGTATGGGTTAAGGCGTCCCAATATGAACAGTGTCAAAACTATTTCCCACAGCTGCTCCCTCCAGATACGTGAACCTTATTCTGATGAATATTCTGTGGCAAAATTCAAAACCATCTGTAGGAGGAGGCTGGAGAGAGGATCCACAATGGGCAAAAGATGCCAGCATTGCAGGGGACTGGACTAAGTGACCCTGGTGGTTCCTTCCAACTCTACAATTCTACGATCTACGACCAGAGAGCGAATGGTGGGACATTCCACTTCTGCAAGTCCATAACGTAGAGGCTAGGAAGATCCTTGATTCATCAGGGGCCTTCAAATATAGCGTTATACCATCCTCAATAGATCCCAATAATGTTCATTTACTTCTAAGTAATTCATACTGAAATAAAGGAATAAGCAGGGTTCAGAAGCAGGGTTTTTAATGTGATGTTTTACAGCTCAATTATAGGATATCTACTTAGCACAGATGGAGTGGGATTTTGTGGTGAGCCATGGCCAAAAGAACGGAACAGGAGAAAGTCTGCTGTCATGCCTGAGGATGGGAGGGCAGCACTCTGCCTTCCAGGTTTCAAAGCACAAATAGCAGCTCCACTTTAAGACTGCATGTAACAGCCACCCCAGCGTGGCAAACAGCAGCAGCAAAGCCACCCCCTTCCCCTCGACTCTTCCATGATGCAGGGACAGGCAAAAAGTGTCACACAATTGATAGAATAGAAGCCCCCGCTTACTGGATGACTTTAAGCCTCAGAGGAATCACTGAAGCTCCTTTCCTTGGCTTGAATATCAATCTTGAGAATGCCTAATGTTTGCCTTTCTTTCCCCCACCCTTCCGCCAATGCTTGGCACTTTGTACTGTCATGGCAGTTTCCCCAGCGTATCTGATGGACTTCAGGGAGGAGAGGGCAGGGAGCGATTGGAACCCTGTTATGCTCTAGGTAACGTCCCTGAGGTGTGAGAAGGGCCAGTTATGACCATAACTGGGCTGTGAATGAACCAAGCTCTCTTGCAGACTCCAGTTATGAACTGAACCAGTATTGTCACCCAGCATTCTTTTCAGACTATATTGAAGATGGTTCTAATCATACAGAGCGGTAAAAGTAAGCTTCTGGTCCTCATGTTTGCTAAGGCATGCGAGAAAATGTTCAAGCTGTCTCAGCTACAGTTTGAGGCTTAATCACCATATTCCAGGAGTCTAGCCGTTACTTGCCTTACCCAGTTCCTTGCTGCTTGCCATGATCTCCTACTCCTGCCACTCTTCCATGCATCCTCTGCCCCAGGGCAGAACTAAAAGCATAATGCCATCTGGCAGCTTGACCTCTGTATGGCTGTAAAGTGGAGCATGGCATCAGGATCTATTATCCCAGCAGCCATGAATCAGATTGCTCTTAGCCATTCCGGATTTAGGTTTGATGAGGCCCTAGGCTACTGAAGGTAATGGGGCCCTTTATATGTCCAGCTGTCTTTTGTCAACAACAAATTGTCACTGTTTTTTGTGTTGAATATATGCTATATGGTAAGTTATGGACCATTTGCACATGTTGCCCTGCAACCAGTCCATGCAGAATGTAGGCACCCTATATATAGAAATGAGCAAACCAGTGATATTTTAGGGAGCAGGCGAGCAGGCGGGGCCCATGACTTGCATCATAGGAGCCTATACAACACAAAACACTGTTGCTGTATGTAGGTTTTATTTTATTTGTTTTTTATCTTAAATTTTGGAAATGTACATCCAGGTTTCCCCCCCTTAATTTTTTTAGCCCCCCCCCAAGAGAGTGGGGCCCTAAGCTATAGCTTGTTTAGCTTAGACGTAAATCCTGCACTGCTCTTAGCACAAGCTTAGTCCCAGCTTTTCCTAATGAAGTTAAGCTTCTAAGTGATGTACAGAAGGTTTTTTGTTGTTGTTTTTTTAAAAAAGAACACACACACACATTCTTTTTTATGTATTGAAAGCTTACCATTTTTGCAGACTGGACAACACTGTTCTGGTTCATAGACTGGGTTGACACATTCAGGAACGGCACAGTCTGCTACAACACAGTGAACTTCATTGCTGGGCTCACAGCGACACCATTCACATGGAGAGGGCTAGGAACAAAGCTCAAATTAGCCCGTTGTTCCCCCTTCTAGTAGCTCCATCAGTTAGTATTATTTATATCTCAAGACATAAAACCCACTTAGCTTATTCATTTGACAATATGGCACATGCACATAATGTAACAAAAATGAGCTTTACTTTATTGACAAAGTTCTGACAGTTCATGCTTCCAAGGAGTCAACAAAAGTTCCCTAGGAGGGAAGGGTGTGTGGACAAAAATGCCCCTTTCTTCTCCTGCCACTGCAATACTGACCAGATAAAGGGTTAGGATTTCACCATTGTTGTTTGACACGAAAGCCAGCTACAAGGAACACGCATATGTCCTGAGGCTGGGAGGACAAATTAACACTGGGCAAAGCCACGCTGTATACCCAATGCACAATAATCCTGGATACTGTAACTCCCCCCCCCAAGCTAGAGTTCCCAGCACCCTTAAGAAACCACAGTTTCAATGCTTCTTTGGGGGAAGTCATGTGCTTTAAATGTGTGTTGGAAGTGCCTTAAATCTATGGTGTGGATCTGGCCAATATTGAGGAGAGGCTGGAGCAGAACTTGCAGTTACATTTCCCATAGTTTTCATACCTGCATTTTAGACCTGAGCTAAAATTGCGGAAGGACCACAAGTGCTGTTGCCGCCTGCTGAATGTGGCCCAATTCTACTTTGCAATGGGCAGCTGTGAGCTGCCTGCCATTTGAAATTCCCTGCAGTGCTATATTGGATCATTGCTGGAAATTCCAAGTGGCCAATCCAATGGTCTCGATCTGCTGCTACCCACTGCCAATGCGCCCATGAGCATGGGCCCTGACCTTGGTGGGGGGCACAAGTTGTCAGGTAACAAAGCAGGTAGTACTTTGCCAGGGGCCACCTCAGACCTGGAGCTAGCCTGGCTAAAACAAAATTCCCTGTCTCATTTTCATTGTTGTACAGAAGCTCTCCTGTTTTCAGTGGAGTGCTGACTATGCACTTCAGAGTCTATTTTTCATCCAGGTTCTGACACTAGAAGCATGGGCATAGCCAGGATTTTTGTTGGGGGGCAGGCTTTTGTTGGGGGGGGCAGAACCTCAGATTTTTATTGATTTGTATTGATTTGTGGGGACAGCTGCCCCCCTGCCCCCCCCTTGGCTACACCCATGACTAGTAGGCTGGTTTTTAAGACTTCAGAGAACTATGCACTCCCTGATCAAGTCAGCAGGGAGACTGGCTTAGCTGTTAAACAAAAAGTTCTTTCTCACTGAATATGCAAATTCTCGTATGAGAACTAAAACTCACAAAAAATTCCCTCAGCTCTACATGTCGAACTCTTGGTTATTCATAGAAATATCTAGAAATTAGATTTGTAATAAAAACCACCTTATTTGCTGGTGCCAGAGTTTCCCAGACATGTAACGTCCAGTGGTGTCCAAATTTTTGATGAAGTGAAGGGCTGTGGGGGCCAACCAAAATTGTTGAGCTTTTATTTTTTTAGGATTGAAATTGTTGAGGTTTTTTTAGGATTGTACCCCAGGAAATAAACTGCCACAGGGGCTGGATTAAACCGACTGGTGGACTTTGGACATACAGGATGAAAATGTGTGACTCAGTTTGAAAGGCTGAGACTCCTCTCCAGCCTCCAAACCCTTCCGTTCATTATGTGCAGATACAACTCATCTCATCTAAATTCTCCTGGCTGCCTCTGTTGCTTTGCAGGAAGATAAGGCACCTGAACTGTACTCCAAATCAAGTAACTCACAGGGGCATAGGGTGCCTCTCGGGGGGGGGGGAGTGCACACGCCAAGTGTGCACGCTGGGGGACGGGGCAGGAGGAGCCCGCCCCTCCAGCCCATCCCTCGCCGCCGCCACACAGTACTGGCACTCTTGAGAAGCTCACTTGGAAACGCAGGAGAAGCAACCCCTCCCTCCAGCCAGCCCTGTTTCTTTGGTGGGCCTCACTCGCCTCCCGGGCTCCGATGGGGCACCCTCAATGGATGGAAGCACTTTGCACATGCTCATCCTGTTTCATGGTCTATTGACCATCGATGGCAATGTACCAAGAGCTTGTTTTCACAATCACTACCTCAGGATAGTTATCTAAGGATCCCACTCTGCCTGATGCACTTTACAGAAGTAATAGCTCTACTGTTTTTTTAAACTTGCATTTTTCTAGAATGTATGGGAGGGGATGCTTCAAATCCATACTCAGCTATGAAATCCCTTCAGTGACTTGGAATACTAATATCTCGGTCTAACCTACCTCACAAGGTTGTTCTGAGGGTGCTCTGATCTATCTAATATTGCACAGTTTTTACTGGGACAGGTCAGTCTGTAAATGACATTGTTCTTGCAGCTGACTGCACTCTCGCATGTAGGATGTAGATGCACCACAGTCAATGTCTACCTAAAATCACTTTAAAATCACTTTAAAACATTAACACTTACTTACAAAAGTATTGTAAACAGGTTAATACTTTGGTAGGATTTTAAGAACACTTGTAATTTTAGAAATAGTGTAGGAAATTTGAGGTAGAAAAATAATTTGGAATAGAAAGCATGTGCAATTGAAAAGGAAATTTAAGGAACCAGGGAGAGGGGGAGGGAAGTCACAGGATCTGGAGATTTGATATTGCTTTTATGTATATTTTTCTTTGTTTGTGGTTGTTGTTGTGTTTATTGTTGTTTGTTTTTTATTTTTGTTATCTTTGTTGAAAATCTAATAAAAATATTATAAAAACAAAATATTAACACTGGTGCCATGAACACAGTTTAAATTAAACTGGAACACAAATGAAGAAGGGGTGAATATATATATTATGACTTTACAGTTTTTGAATGGTGCTGCTTTCTCTGCTTCATGAATTGCAAAACAATGCTAAAGTCTTGCAGACATAAAGCTCTTTGCAGTTCACCTCAGAGATGCTCCATATGTCTGGAATCAAACAATCTGTTCCTAAGAAATTCATGTCTGCCCTGAAATGAGCTAATTAAAGCTTCGCCTGCTTTGTCTCAGTGTCTACAGTCTTATCACCATTCTGCTTCCTTGTGACTCTGGCAAATTAGATAAAAATCAGTAGTCCTTAAGCAAAAGGAGGAATCTGTGGGAGGTGGATCACCCTGTCTAATTATCATTCTGATTCCATGTTCCCTTTGATTTTTGCCATAGAAAATTATCACATACAAACACACACATACACACACACTTTAGTGACTAAGACCCAGGGATGCTTTCAGCAAGTTTCTGTGATATAACAGAGACCTTCCTCTATTAGCACATCCTGTGGGATTTCTTTTTCACCAGAATATTACACTCGTTTCAGAGATGTCAAGAAATGTCTTGCAAGTTTCCAGTGGTGCTACAAGCTAGCTGCATATTCTGGGGATGGAAGAGCATCAAATAGATGTGGAAAATGCCCCCGAATGACTTTGCTCTGAGTAAATGAGACATGACAGATGTATCTTTTTTTGCTTCTGTGGTGATAGTGTTACCTGAAAATGACACCAGAGAGAAATAGGATATTGTATGACACGGAAAGCAACTGTCGGGATGAAAGAAAATCACACCACTGTATGGCATAAGGAAATGTTCAAATCTTTGGAGAAGGAGCATTTTTGGAACCAGTTCTGGACCTTTTCTCTCCATTTATTTTCCACACCATCAAATCTTGAGCTGTTTTCTTGTGCCGTGCAACCATATAAATCTCCCCCCCCCGCCCCGTTCCAAACACATACTCTTTTCTCACTCTAAATTTTTTTCCCATCATCCATTTCCAATATCATTGCTGAAAATTATGAAGCCTTTGCACAAGAATCAATACAGGCCCTTATCACTCTACTCCCAGGCCTCAAGAAAAAGAAAGATGTCCCTCTCAAAGGCTTTCATAGGTCCTAGGCAGAAGTTAAAGATGTTCAGCACCTTATAAGAGATAACAATTGTCCAAATGTACTTAATGGGGCAATGGGACACGGGTGGCGCTGTGGGTAAAACCTCAGCGCCTAGGACTTGCCAATCACACAGTCGGCAGTTCGAATCCCCGCAGCGGGGTGCGCTCCCGTTGCTCGGTCCCAGTGCCTGCCAACCTAGCAGTTCGAAAGAGCCCCCCTGGTGCAAGTAGATAAATAGGGACCGCTTACTGGCGGGAAGGTAAACGGCATTCCGTGTGCTGCGCTGGCTCGCCAGATGCGGCTTTGTCATGCTGGCCATGTGACCCGGAGGCATATAAATGTAATTTTTTTAAAAAAAACCAGAGCTGTTTTAATTACATTTCCACTTCAGATCCGCTGTCCCAGAATGACATGCAATCATAGTGAAGGGTGCGTTGTTTATGCAATATTCACTACAATGCAAAGAGGCTTTTGCTGTCCAGAACTTTCTCATTCCTGCAACAACCTTGAAAGGGAGGTCAGAATTATGTCCTCTTTACAAGCGGGAAAATAGGTGAATGGCCCAAGGCCACTCAGTGAATCCATGGCTGTCCACTAAGGAATCCTGTGACTGCCCTGAAGACTGAATCCTGAAGACTGAAGTTCAAATCCTCCTCCAACCACAAAGCTCACTGGCTTAGCCTGGGTTAGTCACTGTCTCTCTTGGGTTGCTGGGAGGATAACATGGCAGGGAGAACCATGCAGCCCCTGCTTGAGTTCCTTGAAAAAGAGTTGAGCTATAAATGTAATCAATAAATCCTCTGTGATATGAACTCCATAACTAATCAAGAACAGCATGCAGGGATGAGACTAGAATGAATCCTTCCCCCGACACGTTTATTTTCTATGTGAAGTGTGTGTATGTGTGTTGTGGGTGTGTTTCAATTAAGAATTATCCAGCGGGGCAGTCAACCATGCAACCTGAAGTGCTACATCCCAAAAATGCTTTGCTGCTTGACTCTGCATAAACTAGTCTTGACTTCTCATTCGCACATTCAGATCATCAATTAATGCTACAATAAACTAGAAACAAACACCCTAATACAAAATGTATTTCAATCTATATACATTTAATTGTGGTTTAAAATGTATCAG